AAAAAAAGAAAAAAAAAAGTGAGAGTGGTTTCAGATGTTTTTTTTTTTCAGATTTCTTGAGCTTGGGGAATGGATGATGCAATAGCACCGTGTTTGGTTTCTCAAGCAGCAAATTCTTCGATCTGTAAGCTTCGTTCCCAACGAATTTTTCGCTGCCCATTTTTCTGCTTTTCCCCCATTTCTCATTTGATGGATTGAGACAATCTCTGCACTTTCTGAAAGCCCTCGTCCGTTCTAGGGTTTGGTGAAAGCGCGGATCTTTATGCAATATCGTTGAGGTTTCTTTATGTTGAATCTCGAGGGAAAAAAGTTACGGTTTCATGAGATGTATTCGTGAATGTTGGTGTGATTTCGTTCGGAGATCCATGAAATTGGCATTTCGATATTTTCTTTTTCTGAATCAGCGTTAAGCTCTGCTTTGACAAGTGTTGCTATCAGCTTGAGTTTTGAACTTTTCCTTATCTTCTATTTTCATTTGGCTTTGTGTGGGTGTGGCTGTGCTGAATAAAGGAATCTTTTGCTTTTCTCGTTTATTTCGGGTGTTGTTTGAGGGAAAGGGTTCTTGTGGTGTAAATTTCATGTTCGCATACTTTGGTAGGGAGCAGGAGTTAAGAAATGTTGTTTTGAAATCATATCTTGATCATAAATAATGGGTTTTAACTTTTGTGTTCTTTCAATCTCTCTCGTTTTTATCAGGTCTGGTTAAGCGTTGTTTCTAGTGCATAATCGTTTCCATTGCGGAGCGTGTTCTGCTACTGATGGCCGAGTCAAGTCCAGTAGATGCTGTGTTGGAATATCTTAGAAGGAACAAGTTTACCAAAGCTGAAGCTGCTTTACGGACTGAACTGGGCAACAGGCCCGATTTAAATGGGATTCTTCAAAAGCTTACGCTGGATGATAAGGGTACGGGCAACAAGTCAAATGTAGAAGCAAATGGGAGAATTATAGCTGAAGGAGATCAAAACAGGGACATTTTACCCTCGAGTGCTTCCGAAACATCAAAGGAGCTAATAGTGAAAGAGGTGGAGTGTGGGACGAGTGATAAGAACTTCACCTTCTCAAAGAGTTCGGATGATGCCGTGCCCGATTCGTGTTCATGGAAATGCACTACGAGCAATGGGCCAATTGCTTTTAATCAAAACGAAGAGAACAATTTTTTGGGATTCCAAGTTTCGGGGAAGGCAAAATTAATTTCAGCTGAGACTCCTGGCAGTGGTCAAGTTAATCTTAAATCAGATGCTATCATTTCTGGTGAAAAGAAAACGAATTGGCTTGGCACTGTTAGTAATGCCAGTATGGAGCTGAAGTTTGATAAAGAAGTCGATCTTCAGAAGAAGCAGAGTAGTATGTGTTCTAAGGACGAGCGCTGGAAAGATTGTTCTGTCAAAACTGTTTTCCCCTTCCCCAGAGGAGACACTTGTACCAGTTATGATAATAGTGCTGCTGTTGGCGATAAAAGGGAGGGGAAAAAGAAAGCGGAATTCAATGACATTAAGGCAGCAATAAAGGAGCAAGTGGATGAGGTGGGGAGATCTCTTTTATTTGGCAAGACTCAAGCAGGTGAGCCACAAGCTTTTGGTGCATTAGAATTTCATCTTGCATCTGAGAACCAGAAGGAAGAGCTGCCGAGACTGCCACCTGTCAGGCTTAAGTCAGAAGACAAGTCCTTTAATATTCACTGGGAGGAGAAATATGAACGTGATGGACCTGGTCCAATGATCTTAAATGCTGCTGACAACTCATATCCTATTGGGTCGTTTCTGGATGTACCTATTGGTCAAGAAATCATTGCCTCAGGTTCACATGAAAACATAAATTATTTAACTTTTTATTTTTTGTTCTTCCAAATTCTATGCTACCAATGTAGAATGAATATGCATTTACTTCTCATAATGATTAACTAATTAAGCATATTCGCATGTAGTTTGTCCCAAGCACTGTCATAATGGTGCATATTAGGAATCTTGAAATTTTTAGCTCTCGTTGTACTGCATGTTTAAGGAACTACTCGAGCCGTTGCTAAGATTAATAATAACGTCCCTCTTATAAATTCGTTTGCTAGGACCGCAAAAGAATCACTTATCACTCACATGTCTGCTTATGTTGGGTAGAAGGGAAAATGTATAGAGCAGAGTGATAAATTAAACTTAAGCTAATTTTAACATAATTTTATATGCTCCTTGTTTCCTCTACCATTCATATAACTGAAAAGTTGGTATGCTGTCTTTCAAATTGAACCGACATCTTTATAAATAAGATATTGACCTCATAGTATCTTGATAATTTGACTTTCCTTTCCTTTACACACATTTTTTTTTTCATGGTTATGAAAATTTTTCTTTCCCCAACTTTTTTTTCGTATATCTATATTCGAATGGTTATAATTCTTAAAATTGACGATTCATAGGTAAAAGGCTAGGAGGAGGCAGCTGGCTCTCAGTAAGTCAGGGTATTGCCGAGGATACTTCTGATCTGGTTTCTGGTTTTGCAACTATAGGTGATGGCCTGAGTGAATCTATTGACTACCCTAACGAATACTGGGACTCCGACGAGTACGAAGATGACGATGATGCTGGCTACATGCGACAACCTATAGAAGACGAGACCTGGTTTTTGGCTCATGAAATTGATTACCCGAGTGATAACGATAAAGGGACTGCTCAGGGGAGTGTTCCGGAAAGAGGACCTAGCAAAAACGATGATGATGATCAATCGTTTGCTGAGGAGGATTCTTACCTGTCGGGTGAGCAGTTTTTACAGTTGAAAACTATTGATACCATTGTGCCTTCATATGATCCCTCTCCTGTTCACGAAGTCTACGGGAGGAAAAATGAGAATGACTTAATGATGGAGCAATATGACGGGCAGCTGATGGATGAGGAGGAGCTGAGTTTGATGCGTGCTGAGCCTGTCTGGCAGGGCTTTGTGACTCAGTCGAATGAACTCGTTATGCTTGGAGATGGGAAAAATACGGCCGAATGTGAAAGGCCACATCCGGACGAGGTTTGTACGGACGATAATCAGCACGGTTCGGTTAGATCCATTGGGGTTGGGATCAACAGTGATGCAGCTGATATAGGAAGCGAATTTCGAGAAAGTCTAGTCGGAGGTAGCAGTGATGGTGACATAGAGTACTTTCACGATCGTGACTTCGACAAGACGGTTAAGAGAGATGGTAAAAGGACAAAAAGACAGAACTCTGATAAGTATGTAATGAGTAATGAAATGGGTGGACTGTATAATACTACTCATGTTATTAAGAGTCGTGTGGATGGAGGATTTTCTTTTCCTCCGCCTAGAGATGGGCGATTGGCTCAAACGAGCTCGAATAAATCTCTGTGGTCAAATCAGGCAAACACTGGGTTCAGTGAGGAAGCAGATGATTGTGGCGTGTCGAATGATGACATGCTTGCAAACTGGAGGCGCAAAAGTAGTGAGTCTTCTCCGGTTAAGAGCTTGAGGGACGAGGACAATGCAAATTCTAGTACCTCGTCTCTTTCGAATTACGGGTACAATGATAGGGAGCATGTGAAGAAAGAAGGTGATGTGAAAACGGGTGGATTGAGAGAAGAAGATCCCGGGGCGTCGTTGGAGGATGAGGAAGCAGCTGCCGTGCAAGAGCAAGTGAAGCAGATCAAAGCTCAGGAGGATGAATTTGAGACGTTTGATTTGAAGATCGTCCACAGGAAAAACAGGCATGCAATATATATATATATATATATATATATATATATATATAATCTGCCTTTCATTTGCTCTCTTTTCGTGGATAATCATATATGACCTCCGCATTCTTAGATGTACTAGCTAACTTTATCCAGGAATATTGTTCTCTAGCAGCGAAATTGTGATGTACACACTTGGATGTGAAGAGATGCGCTTTTTTTTTTAATGAATGACTCGAAGCATCTGAGATTGATAGTTTTGCTATCTACTGCTCGTTTCATATATTACACTTGAGTTGAGACTTTACAGAGTGTTTATTATGTGCTTAATTTTGAGGTTTAGTTTCCCTTTGGATTTGTGGTTCTTTTATTAATTGCTACTTTTGAATATTCCAAATATTAATTGTACTTCTGTGTCTTGTTTAGGACTGGCTTTGAGGAGGACAAGAATTTCCACGTTGTTTTGAACTCTGTCATTGCTGGTCGTTATCATGTCACTGAGTATCTTGGTTCAGCAGCTTTTAGCAAGGCTATTCAGGCGCATGACTTGCACACTGGCATGGATGTCTGTATGAAGATCATAAAGAACAACAAGGACTTTTTCGATCAGAGCCTTGATGAAATAAAGCTGCTCAAGTATGTGAACAAACATGATCCTGCTGACAAGTACCACATTCTTCGGTTGTATGATTACTTCTATTATCGAGTAAGTTAAGCATTTTTATGTTGTGATATCAGTGTATTCTGTTATCTTTGTTATATCGTGATGTGATTTTCATCCTTCTATATCAATTATCAGGTCTGAGCACCTATTTCCTTGCGTTGAATTAGCTTTTGTTATTTCCAATGGAGATTGCAAAAATTGTCTACGGTTGACCAGTTGACCTTCACCTATACATGCAGGAGCATTTATTGATTGTATGTGAACTGCTGAAAGCAAACTTGTACGAATTCCATAAATTCAATAGAGAATCTGGGGGAGAGGTCTATTTCACGATGCCTAGACTGCAGGTTTGTGGTGAAAATGTCATATAACTGTCCTTTTATATTTTTTACTGTATTTGCTTGCTAATTGGGTTTTCTTTCTACTCTTCTGCAGTCAATCACCATTCAGTGCTTGGAAGCCCTTCAATTCTTACACAGCCTTGGTCTAATACATTGCGACCTGAAGCCTGAGAATATATTAGTGAAAAGTTACAGTAGATGTGAGGTGAAAGTTATTGATTTAGGAAGCAGTTGCTTTGAGACAGATCATCTTTGTTCATACGTTCAATCTAGGTCATATCGTGCACCGGAGGTTATTTTAGGACTTCCATATGACAAGAAGATCGATATCTGGTCCCTTGGTTGCATATTGGCCGAACTTTGTACAGGAAATGTAAGTTCTTCCCATTCATAAGCTCGTCTTTCATTTCATTTCTTTGGAATACCTAAATGAAGTAAATCGGTTCTTATATGAATATAGGTGCTCTTTCAAAATGATTCACCTGCCACTCTACTTGCTCGAGTGATTGGAATCATAGGCACTATCGAGCTGGACATGCTATCAAAAGGAAAGGATACGTATAAATATTTCACCAAAAATCACATGCTTTATGAAAGGAATCAGGTATACAGCCTTTTCTCATTTTACATTACATATTAGGAAAAAAGAAAAAAAAATAACTTTTTTGGTAATGAAATGTGATATTTTGATATTTTCAACATCAACTCCCATCACTAATCACATCAAATAACTATTTACTGAAGAAAAATCGTCAAACCAAACTTTCATCGTTAATTCTTGATATTATATCCATTTTCACACTAAAAAATTCATTATTGTATTTCCTCTGTTTTTTCCTATGTTACTCAGGATTCACTTTTTTGGTAGTGAATTGTGATATTTTGATATGTTCAACATCAACTCCCATCATTAATCACATCAAATAACTATTTACTGAAGAAAACCATCAAATCAAACTTTTATCATTAGCTCTTGATATTATATCCGTTCACAAATCAAACTCAAAATTAATTCTTGTATTTCCCTTTTTTTTTTTTCCTATGTTGCCTCAGGATTCAAACAGGCTCGAATACTTGATACCCAAAAAGTCATCCCTAAGACACCGATTACCAATGGGAGACCAAGGCTTCATTGACTTTGTCGCTTATCTTCTACAAATCAACCCAAAGAAAAGGCCCTCAGCATCAGAGGCTCTAAAACATCCGTGGTTACAATATCCTTACGAACCAATATCATCCTAAACCCATCTTATGATTTCTCGACAAATTATCAAA